ACTACTTTCATAAATCCATTGTATATTTTAGATTCTTGATGACCAGCTTGCTGGGAATTGCCCGCCAGCGGTTGCCAACTCTGATGTTTGCAATGATATTGATGATGACGATGATTCTGTGAGTCTTCGTTCGGCGGAAACTGTGTTTGAATTGGAATCGTTAGAGTTTGTTACGATACGCTAGTTCACGAGATTGCGGCAATGAAGTGTTCGCAGGTTTGCGCAGACTGACTGACCGATTGCTAGGTGTGAGTCCGCGCACATACATCCTCATCACTCGGGTTCAATTTCCTCCAAACTTGTGGTGAATCACTTTTACGCCCTCTCCCTCTCTCTCTATGTCTGTTTTCACTGCACCAACNAAGCACCATGTCAATGTGCCATTTGGTGCAACGTTTTCTGTTCGATATCCGAAGCACAGTTTGCTTCTTTAACCGTATTTTCTAGCGTATAACTAATATAGTTTAGTTCTATGCATCTCCGAAATGGACAAATTATCGATCGATCGCATTCACGTTTCGGCCGAAATTCAATCTATCTACAAATTTGCATTTTATCCAAGTTATTTTTGAGAATTGGTAAGCGATGCGTGTTACCGATTTCTGTTGACTAATCTTTAGATTTCATCTTCACACTCAATTCCCATTTCATCCAATCATAATATTTGACTCGAGGTTCCCTCTCGTTTAAGCTCATCAGTACAGTATATCCACCGACTCATCCGGAATTGGAACTCCTAGGGGACTGTCATTCAAGACCACATCTGAGCAGACATTAAGTAGTTATGATCTTCAGGTCTACTGGGTGATCTGGTTATCACAATAAGTGCCTTCCATACTGGCGTTCCGGTATTCAAATGTCGGTTAAGGCGGTAGATTGGCTATACTGATGAGCCCTGTTGTGAATAAGGAGTTTAGGTGGTGGTGAAATCTGAAGTATGGTCAGTCGAAATCAGTATCCATCAAGGACTGCTTTAGCTCACCCCGTTTAATGGGATGTAGTCCAAAGTAAGGTGATGGTGTAATATGCACATAAGGAAGCAGTCATTGAGCATGGCTTGGTTGGGATTGATTTTATCTAGGCGCATATTGCATCGAAACAAAGGGGTTGCAGCGTGTTGAATAACATTCAGCAAGCCTGTACTACCTACTGGGTCACAAAGACAAATAAACAGTACAGTCGGTATAGGTCAGAACTCTTTCCTCGACCCAATCCCGAATGTGCTTTATGCTCTGGCTATCCAGCTGTCGCCGCGATCAACATTTGTTTCATCCGTTTCGTTTATCGACTCTGTTTTGCTTCCTTTTTTCGTTTTCGTTCAGCGCCTTAACAGTACGTGCAAAGAACTGGACGGTTTGACCAGTGATTATGTTTGGTCCTGTGTTCAACAAGAAGTGAGTAATTATCACCCGATCTGTTTGTTTGCTACCTGTCCCGGGCTGATCAAGCGTTCGTGATATAGGGGCGAAGGGAAAACTTTTCATCCTTTGTACAGGACTAGTTTCCCCATTTTTTAAAAATTAATTTTAACTTAGATTTATATTTCCGTTTTTTTCGTTGAAGAAGCTATATGAAGTCCAACGAACAGCATTGGAAAGCCTTCCCGGTCACTGTGTGCTATTTTTCGTGTCCCTGCCTGACTCAATCCGTGAACCTTCGAGTTTGGAGCGGAAACACTTGCCCCTGAGCCCCACCATCTTTAGTCGACATTTTACCGCATGACTATAGTGATTGTTTTTATCTTATGGCGTACACCAAACACCTGCTCCTGATCGGTCGATTACGGGCTGGGATTGGACGAAAAGGAATCAACGGTGGTTCATAAGTGGGAAAGCCTGATCGGTTATTGGGCCGCTAGCAGTCTTACTTAAACTGTTCTTTTGTGTCTAAGAATTCCTGAGATAGTTACATCAGTCATATCGGTGTGCAATACACACTTCCAAAATGCCGTACGACGATAAAGACCGGACAATTAGTGGCGTACAACAATTCGTTCGCATAGCTGAGCACTGCATGGTTCTCAGACGACAACCGAGTTCCAAGATCTCGTTCGCCTATGGTTAATGATTTACTCCGTGTTTCATATCATTTAGTTCAGTTTTTGTTTGATTCTTGGGTTTAATCAAAACCCCATTTAGAAGTTTATTGTTGCGTTAAAAGCCCGTTCATCATCACCGTCACCATCAGAACTAAACTGTCGCAATGAAAGTCCTCTTTTGTTGTTTTTCGGGTTGGACGTCAAAACATGTTCATGCTAGTTCCATGTTATTGACCATCTTACGCTTCATATCTTGGATCACCCGTGCTTCTCCCCTGAGGTGGACGTTGGACAACAACGGGAGCAATAAACGATATGGATGGTTGGGGTTCTGCAATAGTTGATACACCACACTTCTGGAATTTAGCGATACTGAGTGCAGTATGACCGAAATGATAGCAGTTTTTCACAGGTGTTGTAATTTGGTCCCCGAGCCAGATTGGCAGCTGTATTTTGTTGAAGTTCCAAAACCTTTGCGATCGCACTACTGCCATCTGTTTCAAACTTGACTGGTTATTCAGTATGTAATCGAATGCACGCTGATAACAAATGTATGAATAGCGTTGACCGAAACGTGTCAAAAATACACTCGATTAAACTGTCATACGCTCGAGCTACAGATAACGCTCTCGATCGCTTTATCGAACAGACTAGGTCTCGTTGAACACTAACACCATGTTGCCTCTCATTCAAAGGAACTATTGTTCCCCAAGGCAGTATAGTAGTGGATTTTTTGTTGTTGTATTGATCAAAACGTAGATTTTGGTCAGGTTTACCTTTTGTGCACCAACATCACGAGCTTACATTTTAATCTGCGGGTTATGAGATTTAACCGATTTCTTTTCACTAACCCCAGTCATTTCGGTCTCATTCTGAGTACCATCTTTGTGTATATGTTCTTTGAACCTAAGTGGTATACCTGGGCTGGATTGTTTTAATTGCTTGTAATGAGGCTAGTAATAAGGCTAGTCTTTGTGTCTATCAAATCACCTGGATATTTTGTTTGTCCTAACACCAATCCGTCTTTTCACCCCTTCCCCTGCTCGCTCAGATACAACTTTTATTGTCTATTCATTTGAACAAACATGTGACAGTTGAAGCTGGTGTCGGCGTGATCAACCAGACACAAGATCAGCAGGGTTCTGACTTGTCCAACACCATGAACGCGTTAGATGTGAGCCATTTGGATTTGAATGCACTGATGGGTCGAAAACGTACAACCGCATTCAGTTTTCCCACAACCGGTCCTTTGTCTGTTAGCTTTCAAAAACTCACCGGAGATTCGAGCAGCTCAAGCGGCACAAATGCATCCAATCCACAGAATGGTACTGGATCGGGTCAGCCGAATTCGGTCGGTCAAAATTTGTTTAGTTTTTCGAATACATCGCATTTTCTCAGTGTCACCTCGTACCTACGTGAGAATCGAATGCTGGTAAGTGCATATCTGAAACTTGGGGTCATTACATAATTGATCATTTTGCAAGACTGTTGCTATGTGGCTCTGAGACCGACTTTGTTTTGTCGTATATCCCAAACCGAACTTTTATTCCCCCGTTCTATTTTCTCACCGCCTCCCCCCCCACCCTCGCGCTGTCAGCTTGAATCGCGTCCTGATGTACCCCGAGCAGAAAATACCGAGGTCAATCGAAATCGTTATCCGGTGGTTTGTTACCCGGACCAGGAGAACATTATCAGTGTGTACCGATCAGTCATGGAGTTCGTTAATGCCGTCGAACATGAGGTGGCCCTAATTGACAGTTCTTTGCAAGCCAAAGCGTGAGTTTATCTTGCGTCGCTGCTCCGTCAACAGTCGCTGTTTCTCATGATGTGTTCTTTGATGAACATTAGATTTTCTTCTGCGAGTGTGATTTATGAAACTGGGTCTAGAATCTTCATTTGAGTCGGTTTATAGATGCCTTTTCCAGTTTTTTTTATACGATTCGCATAGACCCGGTTTCGTAATCGTCGGGTCATCTATCGAAGCTAACCATTTTTCATCCTTTGTTTGATATATTTATTTCTAGATTCCAATAGCGGTGCTTCTTCCATCTTCTTATATCTCATCAACGAATTTTATGAGCTTACCGTGAACATCGAAGTTTGAAGTAGAAAAAAAAAATAATCAGAAAACTTTATGACCCAGTAAGCTGTGTCACATTTTGTTTATGTAATCATAACTATTCAACATCAATCGTTCATCATTTGGTTTTTTTTCGTACCTTCCCTCTGTAACCGGCTTCTAATCAAATTCAGAACTTTTCAGTAGTAAGTAACCCATTCGGAATGCATGGAGAATACAGAGTTCAAGTGTCTGCATCAAAGAGAGCATGCCCAGAATTCCTTGATAACCTCACTCGCGTATCCCCGCTGTTCTCTTTCGTGGCGAATGCTAACAGCTTGATCAGTGCATTGATGCGTACAGCTCTGAATCTGTTTTGTTTACCGAATCGATCCCTCGTTCCCCGATAAATTTTATTTTTCGGATTCGCCTTTCAGCTCACCGATGGGCATTATTCGCCGACCATGCCAATTACGTATCTATTTGAAAAACTTCATAGAGAACACATATCTTCCGGATACCCTGATTGCACTTCGCGGCAGACTTCAACAGAAACTCAGTGGTAAGCAACATGCCCGTTTTGTGTTTGTGCTATCCGCCAGATTCTTTTTTTTTCTGTATATCATAAAGTTCCATACCCACTGAGATTTTTGCACACAATCGTTTACACACCCACAAACCAGAAGAGGTTACCAAAATAGTAGTAGTTTCTCGAATGCTGCAATGCGCAGATCCATTACAACTCTACTGATTGATCAGTTTGAAACAAAGCCTCACTAATATCTGCCTGCTCTGGGTTCTTTTGATCTGTTAGCTCCGGATGCTCTGAATTCGATTGTTTCCCAACAAACGGAAAAAGAGCTTGGCCTACATCGCCCGATCTTATCGGTAAGTGTTTTATTCAATCCTTTCGGTTTCGTTTGAGTTATCAGTGTTAAACTTCATATGCAACGTTGGTTACTTTGTCTCCTGTACTTGTGCACCAGTTTTCCGTTGTGATTTAAATCAGTCACTTACAAGAACGTCCGGGAAATTCGGTTGAATTGTTTTCCATTTGGTATTCGCTGATGTTTTGCTACCACTTGCGTGTTTACTCATTAGGAGTGTCAATCTAACCTCCTTTTAGTGTTGATAAATTGTTTCCGCTCCATAGGCTGTGTTGGCAGCTGATCAATGCCTGATGGAGGTCAAGCGAATGTCTATTGCCTTGCCGGAATATGGCACAGAATGCCTTCAAGTTGGAATTACGCTTATTCAAGATTTTATAGCGGCCATGTGGCGTGTCTACCGCAGTGAGTTTACCATTTCGGTTCAGGTGTATTATCCGTTTACGTTCATATCACACCCCCAGTGCAGCATCATCATGATATTTTGATCTCTTATCAACAGGCTATCGATTTGTGGTTGTAGCTGACCACTGAAGAACCGCTTTTACACCTGAGTTCTGATTACCAAATTTACCTCGTGGCCCTCCTCTCCTGCACATGATCGCATTTGGTTTCCATGCTAGTTTTCCATTTCTTACCGATTTCGCTTCATTTGAGTTCGTCCATTAGAAGGGATCAGCTGGCCTCAAGAAAACGTGATACGTTATGAATACGGGATACACTTTCAACGTCACCCGATTTTCGACCGGTGAAACTGTGGCCTTTACTAACCAAAGGGCAGCGCTGTGTTGGCGCATTGTTACCGGAAGCTGTCCAGAGGCTCGTTCGCCGTTCGATAAGTCTGAATGTACACCAGGGATCAATACATTCTCGGTCGTCCAAAAGATTTCTTTTTTTATCCGTTCGATCTCTCGGCAATCCACTAAAGATTAGCTGTTCTCGCAGTTCGTACGCCGTCTAACCGAGTTTCCAGTCCCGGTTATCAACCTCAACTCGGTTCAGTCAGAGTTGAGCGGACGATCGATTCCAAAAGTGTGGATACGGATGCCTAA